GGGGGAGAACAGAGGAAAGAAAGGCACCAAAAAAAATTTTTTTTTTTTAAATCAATTTTCATCAACTCCTGATATCAGATTTTAAATGTTCTAGGAAGTTCTTATACTGAAATCAAGATAGATCTACCAAAATATTTTCAAGACTATTAGAAATTGTGAGAACAATAAAACTTAAAAGAACAAGAGTCTAAAATTCAAAACAAGACAACTTGTTTTTTTGTACAGGCATAATCAACTAGCCCAGGACCCTTGCAACAAACTTGACAAGACACTAAAACCTGCATTCCTCTGTTCTTATCACATACCTTTCCCAAAAAATTGGATATTAATCACTTCAATGCCTGCCCTCGTAAGATATCCTAAAATTCTAAGGGACGCTGCTGGCATCTATCACTTACAATCCAATTTCCCCCACATGCTTTAGAGTAAGAAGAGTTCACTATATCCATTGGAATAATTCTTCTTCAATATCTTAATTTATGATCTGGAAGATGGGATAGGATGGAATTATACCCTCAAAATGTTTAGAGATGGCACCAAGCTGGGGGGTGTAGTAGATACACTGGAGGGTAGGGATAGGATTCAGAGTGACCTAGACACATTGGAGAATTGAGCCAAAAGAAATCTCACGAGGTTCAACAAGTACAAGTGCAGAGTCCTGCACTTAGGACAAAAGATTTCCTCCATGCACCAGTACAGTCTGGGGCCGAAAGGCTAAGCAGCAGTGCTGCAGAAAAGGACCTGGGGTTTATAGTGGACAATAAGCTGGATATGAATCAGCAGTGTGCCCTTGTTGCTAAGAAGGCTAACAGCATACCGGGTTGCATTAGTAAAAGAAATATTAGTGTAACTTTTCTGCACGGAAAAGTAAAAGGTTTATTTGGGTCTAGCAATATTTCATCTTTTCTGACCATTATTGTCAGTTAACACTTCATTATGTAACGTTAGAGATCCAATAATGTACATCAATAGTTAACCACTGATTTCCTTGGGAGCATTTACACTGACACCATTGATCCTACAACATACTCTCTGAAAGCTTGTTTGCCTTGAAAAAGGTACTAAAGTATCCATCTACTCCCCACTTGTTCATAAATCAAATAAGCAAAATCTTCAGCTGCAGTTTAATTTTGTTTCTTTAACAGAATGTTATATATGCTACAGTATAACATGTCACAGTGCATCTATTAATTAGATCACCAAAAGTTGTTAGTTTTAGGCATTTTACACAACTTAGCAGGGCTCTCACAGGGCTGGTCACTAAAATTTAAATTAAGTTTCTCTCATAAACACTAAAACAGAATTAGAGAGATGGCAAAACAGAAGGGCTCTTTATCACACTTATAGTATTTAAATACGTATTTACTATAAACTTAATTCCTTGTCGTTCCGACCAAAGCCGGACATAGATTTCAAATTATAAACCTCTGCTAGATGGCATTTGAGAACAATGGAAATGGAAAAAAGTAAAAAAGTAATATAAACATCTTAAGTAAGTTATTAAAAAGAGTTACATACACCAGATTTTCTAACCAGAATGACTTTTGCTGTTAAAGAGTCAAAAATCATCTCTCTCAGCATTTGAAATAAAATTAAATTCCTCTATCTAGATCAATAGGATCATAAGAAAGCAGGGCTGGAATGGACCTCATGGGGTTATCTAGTCCATCCACCTGCTCAAAGGGAGAAACATAAACCATCCCAGTCGAGTGTCTGTCTAACCTGCTCTTCAAAATTACCAGGGATGGAGATTCCACAACTCCTCCAGATAAATGCTTAACCGTCCTCATACTCAGAAAGTTCCTCCTTCCAACCTTAATTGCCTTTGTGGCAGCTTGAGGCTATTGTTCCTAGTCCTGTTCCTTAAAGCCACAGAGAAAAGGCCAATTTCCATCCTCTCCCTTCAGGTTTTTAAAAACTCATCTCCCCTTCAGTCTTCTCTTTTCCAAATTAAATAACCCCAGGTCTTTCAGCCTTTCCTTCTAAGTCATGCTTTTCAGGCATCTAATTATTTTTGCCGCTCTCTACTGGACTCCTTACAGTCTGTCCAAATCTTTTTTGAAGTGTGCCCAAAACTGGACACAGTACTCCAAGTGAGGCCTCACTAGTGCCAAACAGAGCAGAGGAATCACTTCCCTTGATCTGCAAGAGACCCTCCTGTTAATACAGTTCAGTCACATGAAAAATATTAATCTAATTTTACTGTGTGATCTTGCATTGTAAAACTAGGCTGATTTTACTGTATTTCACAGCAGTAATTTTTAAAAATCTATTTTAATTGTACTTTGGCTTGAGGGTCCCCATGCTGTTCTCCTGTTTTGCTGGCTTCAGGAGGCAAGGCATAAAGTTTAAATTTGATATGAACATTACTTGAATACTATGGGGAATTAGGAAGAAGCTGATTCAGATTACCCCAAGCACTTCAGTTCACCAAAACCAAATGACTGATTTATTCCTGTGCACTAATAGAAATGTAGGCACGAACAGCATCAACTGCAACTGTACTGCAAATCCCCACACAGAAGTTCTTGGAACAAAACATGATTCCTACAGAGAGGAGAAAACTGGCACACACAGTAACAAGGCTACCCATTCCTACTATGGATCATAAATATTCTAATAAAACCAATGGTCAGCTATATCAAAGGAAATTTAACAAATCTAAAAGCCAACATGGACTAAGCATTACACAGTCCCCACAAGACCAATAGGAAAGTATTACATCATGATATTGACAACAGAGATGTAATTACTGAGATTTATGACTATACTTACAGTTTACCAGAATGTAAACTGAATAGAAATGTCTTTTATTAACCAAACAGTCCACCAAAACATCCAGATTAGGATAGGCTATTGTATCAATAGATACATGCAATGAAAGCATAAGAGTAAGTTTCAGGAAAAACTGGTCATGCAAGAGTAAA